GGAGGAGTGGAGAGAACGAACGAGAGAGGAAGGGAGAGATCGAGTGCCTGCGAGCGAACGAGCGAGCGAAGAAAGGAGAAACGTGCATATCCGAGCGAATGGGGAAGGGAGATAACCAGCGCCCGCGAGCGAAAACGAGTGCCTGCGAGCGAGCGAGGGAGGAAGGGAGAGAGATCGCGTACCTGCGAGCGACCGAGCGAGCGAGCGAGTGCCTACGTCAGGTGCGGCACCCTCCTCATCAAGGCGTGCCAAGGCAGTGCCACCGCGATCAAGCCCTCAGGTGAATTTACATGATATTGCATATCGGTCGTTTCCTCTTTACAAAATACCGCCGGCTCTTCCCTGGCACCTTCCCTCCCTCCTCCACTTACCTCTAATTTATCCGTCTCTCTCTCTCCCTCTCTTTCTTTCTCTCACCGCGCGACCCGGCGCATTTAAGCATCTAATGAGTGAATTAACGAATCCATAATTAAGCAGTTCATTAGCTTGTTAATTGAGTTAATGATTGATGACTATGCATGAAGGATCGCCCGGGGTTCGAATGCCAGCTGGTGGAGGGAGGTCACGTGTGCGGTTGAATGTCGTTGGGTTGTCGGTGGTTGGGTGGTTGGCGTCGTTGGGTCGTTACCGAGTCTGTTTTTGTTTATTTATTTATCTATTTTGATCTAGTTTATTCTATTTTTGGTGACGCACTGTCGGGTCGTTACTGAGTCTGTTTTTGTTTATTTTTATATCTATTTTGATCTAGTTTATTCTATTTTTGGTGACTCACTGTCGGGTCGTTACTGAGTCTGTTTTTGTTTATTTTTATATCTATTTTGATCTAGTTTATTCTATTTTTGGTGACTCACTGTCGGGTCGTTACCGAGTCTGTTTTTGTTTATTTATTTATCTATTTTGATCTAGTTTATTCTATTTTTGGTGACTCACTGTCGGGTCGTTGTTGAGTCTTTTTTTCTTTATTTATGTATATATTTCTATCGACTTTATTCATTTTTTGGTGACAGTGTTGGGTCATAAGTCTTCCTTTATGTACTTATATATCTTTACTTGCTGTCGGGTCGCAATTACTTTCTTTTCTCATTTATATTTGTTTTGTTTGTCTATCTGCTTTATTTCATTTTCATTATGTTTATGATTCTGGTGGTTCTGTTTTTTTTTTTTTTTTTTTTTTTTTCTCTCTCTCTCTCTCTCTCTCTCTTTATTTTGAGTATGTTTCTGGTGACTCAATAGTTGGTCGTTTTTTTCCTGTTATCCATTTATTCCTGTTGATTATAGTTGTGGTAGTTTATGAATGGTTCTGGTTATTGATTCGTTATTATCATTTTTATCGTAGTTATTGTTCTGGTTATTGGTTCGTTATCATTATCTTTTATCGTAGTTATTGTTCTGGTTTTTGGTTCCTTATTAATTCCATTATTTTTTTTTTTTTTACCGATATGGTTCTGGTGGTCTGCTGGTGGTTGCTGGTTCGTCTTTTTTTGTGCAATGGTTCTGGACATCTTTTTCTGCTTGTTATTGATAGTTAGTTGGTTCTGTTAACATCTCGGGTTGTTGTTATTTTTATTTATGTTTGTTGCTCTTACCGTCGTTTCGTTATTGTTTTTGTTTGTTTGTTATTTTAGTTATGGTTCTAGAGATGTGGTTATTTTTTGTTGTTTTAGTTATGGTACTGGAGATTTTTTTGTTTGCTTGTTATTGTTTGTAGGTTTATATAATTGTTTTTGTTGATTTGTTAGTTTGCTTTGGTTTTAAGATATCCCGTTATTGGCTAATTCTTGGAAATTATGGTTCTGGAGTGACTAATGTATCTCTATTTATTTGTTTATTTATTTATCTATTTTTACTGCTTGCTTGCTATTGTTTTATGAATGAATCTGGCAATTGTCCTTGTTTTTTGTTGTTTTGTTGTTTGTTTTGGTTGTAAGATATTCCGTTATTTGGTTAATTTTTGGGTACAATTTTGTTTGTTATCATTGTTATAGTTACTGATCTACAATGAAATGGGAATTTGCAGTTTGTTTCGAATGTCGTTCGTTTGTCGTTACTAGCATTGGTTCTCGTTTAATGTTTCAATTCTGGATTGTTATTGACTCGTTCAGGTTTAGGCGATCTCTCTCTCTCTATTTCTCTTTCTTTCTCACTCTCACTCTTTCTCTCTCTCTCTATTTCTTTTTCTTTCTTTCTCACTCTCACTCTTTCTGATTCTCTTTCTTTCTCACTCTCACTCTTTCTCTCACTCTCTCTTTTCTCTCTCTCTCTTTCTCTATTCCTCTCTCTCTCTCTCTCTCTCTCTCTCTCTCTCTCTCTCTCTCTCTCTCTCTCTCTCTATCTCTCTTTTTCTTTTGACATTGATTGCTCTGGCTATTACTAACTGTAGTGCGGTAACTAGTGGTTCTCTTTATTGCTAGTATTGCTATAATGGTTCAGTATTGCAGGATCATTATATTTCTTCTTTCGTTAGTGCTTATATTTTGTTTGGTACTATTGTTGTTGTAGTAATAGTGTTCATTATTAACTTTTTTGATTTGGTATGACATGCCTGTTATGTCTAGTTATCGTTATTAGTTAGTATCCGGTTTGTTATTGTTGAGTTATAGTGATCCTTATTGTTTTTTTATTAATTAAGTTGTTAGTTATATTCGTTGCTGATTCGTATCCTTTGGTTGTTGTTATAGTATCAGCTTTTAATCTCTTATCTTTTGGATGTGAAAATAGGTGTGAATATATTTTTTGGCGAGTATTTTTTTTTTTTTTCTTTAGTTATAGTTATCAAGTAGTTTCTATTCTCTGTAATTATTGCTTTTTGTTCAAGTTATCGTTCATGGTTTGGTTTCGGGGTGTTATTGTTCACTCTGGGTCAGATTGTGAGTTGTATGGTGTCTGTTAATAGTTGATATTTATTAGTAAGGGGGGGGGGGAGAAAAAAAGTACATGAAACGCGTTTGATTTGTAACTTCGAATAAAAAAGGTATTCTAGATTATTTTATTAAAGTATTCTTGCCTACATACTTTACCTTATGCATAGTAGTTACAGCTGCCTCCACGCCCCTCGAAATTTGTTAGTTAGAGGTTTGTTAATGTGCACTTTGCCCATATACTTTACCTTATGCATAGTAGTTACAGCTGCCTCCACGCCCCTCGAAATTGTTAGTTAGAGGTTTGTTAATGTGCATGTAATCACTAATGATGCAGTATGGTGTATGTGGTTGTATTCTATGGTGCTGCGGTATGTGTTTTGGGGAGCGATGTTTTGTCAGTAGTTGATTGTATTACCAGATGTTATGAATATGGTGTTATGATGCCATTTTCTTTTTTTTCTCTTTTTTTAATGGTATCACGATGAAGAACAGCCTTACCACCCGACGTCAATATTCTTAATCAATAACTTTAAATAACTTCCATTACGGCTGACATTGTGATCTCTGCCGCGTGTTTCCATTTCTGCATTATGATAAAGAGGATTTCTGCAAAGCCTAAATTGATCTGTCTCTCCTATTAGGATAATATCTCATACTGGATACAACTTCCTTCCATCGATACCAATTTACATTTATATTTGAATTCTCTTCGTGGAAAGTCGTATTATCTCAGTACTTTTCCCGGAAATAGTTCCAATTTGAATATCAACTCAAGATCATTCCAAGCATAGGTATTTTAATCTACTAGCTTTTTATTTACTCATTAAATCAATTATACTTTTTATCCTTTAATATCTTATAATTATTTTCTTTTATCATTTTAATTATCATTATTGTTATTATTTGTAAGGGAGTGCGAGAAGGTTAGAAAAACAGAGAGAAAAAACACACACTTTAGAAAGATATTTTATTATCCACAAGAAACACATGACCATACAAAAGATGGGACCAAGAAGGTATAAAGAATGTATGGTAAATTGTCAAAACTATTCCGCTTATTCATGTCACAACTTTCAAAACTAGTTCTTGGTGGAATAGTTAAACAAACTACTGTTATTTCAAAATAGATGACACACAGCACACGCTATTGGAGTCCGTGAGCAGGGCAAGGAAAAAGGGGCCTTAATAATCCTGACGATACGGTCAATTTTGCCTTTGCCATACATTGACCGTTGGAGCACCGTCTTGCTATTGTGAACAAATATATATATAATATATATATATATATATATATATATATATATATATATATATATATATATATATATATATATATATATATATATATAATATATATATATTATAATATATGAAAAAAAAAAACATGTGTATANCACACATCTGTCTGTTCTCTATGTTCGAACCAGCTTTATGCATGATATTGTGGAATGTGAAGAGGTGCGCAGAGTGTTAGAGGTAAAAGAGGCGGAAGGGAGAGAGGATGTGACGGTGTAAACAGAGTGAGACGTCCGCAGGCGGAAGGTGCGGACAGTATATTGTATAGGGTATGTGTAAGGATATATAGTATATTATGTGTACAGTAGAAGAGGAGAGAGAGTGGCACTTGAGTGTTTAGACATATAGATAACATGAGTATTACATCGCTCGGTCACGCTACCGTGGTCCCCGCCACACACGGTGTCAGAGAATGTAATAAGGCGCAAATAAAAACTAAGCTAACTAGAATAACCATATCTAAAATCATAAACAAAACACGCGAAGTATTGGCTAAAATCAGGTCCAGTACGATAATAAATGAGTAGCTGATACAAGGAGTAAAAGAAAATACACACCGTAGTAAATGGGCAGCAAAAAAATGAGTACGTATGTGAATACAATGGAACATAATACATGTGATAGCATCATATAGAATGGATAGGACCTTGGAGCACAATCAGTGACAAGGCAATCAAATGCATGACGTCTAAGCGCTGACAGTGTTTGCACTGTCAATCTGGATGGGCAGTCGGTGTGTTGATATAGTGACAAAAAACAACGAAAAAAAACAGAGAAAAAATAAAAGGCAGTGTGAAGTGAGGGAGGGGAATTGATAAAACGAAACTAGTGCAAATAACATACAAATATTCATGGAAGAAAGGTCAATGCCTTCAACAGTGAGGGAGAGGTCAGTGGGTCGAGCAGGGTATAATCTAGTGTGTGAGCAAAGGAAGCGGTCAGAGGAGACAGTATGCAGAATCGGAAGCTGAGTTGGCATGCTCGTGGGGGGGTGAGTGCAGAGCCGACCGTGAGGTCAGTCCGGGCGTCGTTGCGACTGGTCTGTGTATATGTTGGTTTCGTGTAACGGTCCATTGGGACAGTCCGGGATCAGCGAAAATTAATAGAACAAACAGAAAATAACGCGGTGCAGGAGTACATGCCAAGCAACCGGTGCTGCAGGTGTCGGCAGGCCAAGGGCATGTGTAACAGAGGTGGCACGAGTAGGCGTGGGAAGGTCGAGCACAGCTACCTGGGTATGCGTGACCTTGCAGTAAGGCACTCCCTGGCACGCTCGAGGCGGACAGGGGTCTCGTTGACGTTGATCAAGCGTAAACAGTGACCAGCCTTTGCCTCGTGGCGCGGGTAGGGCGACCAACGCGGGACGCTCACTCAGTCTGAAATCATCAATGCCGTGCCAACCGTAGATGGCACGCTCGCCGGCACCAAAAGTCCGCGAAGGGAACTAAAAAAAAAAAACATACATATACAAAAAAAAAAATCGAATATCCAATGTTTGGGTTGAAGGAAGGAAATTCGGCGAACGAGTACGGGGGGTGGGGTAGGGGCGGTAAGCCTCGGCCTGAAAAAAAAAAAATTCGGATGGAGGCGTCACTTGCTTCGGATGCGCGAAGAATTTCTGAGGGAAGTCCGTCCTCAGGTTTGACACGAATGTCCACGGCGGAATCATAGCAAATCACGGTTACGCGGGAGGGTACTGAGGGAAGTCCGTCCTCAGGTTTAAGAGAAACAACCAAACGGGAGACACAATAGTCTCGGACACGCGGGGGTGCTGAGGGAAGCTCGTCCTCAGGCGTGAGGGAAACAACCAAGCGGGAGAGACCACTTGTCTCGGATATGCGCGGGAGTGCGGATAAGGAGTCGGCCTCGGGCTTGAACGATGCAGCCATAGGTGGGACGCCAACAGTCCCAAACGTGCAAGTCATTACCGAGGGAAGTGCGTCCTCGGGATTAGAAACAATCTTAGGGACGGAATCGCGGGCCGTGACGCAGGCGTGGCTGGCTGGGCAGCGGCACACATGGGTTCTGAAATGCAACAATACTAGACGGTGTGGCTGGCTGGGCAGCGGGCACACATGGGTTCTGAAATGCAACATAAACGGTGTGGCTGGCTGCAGCGGGCACGTTGAAATGCAACAATGCAAGACGGTGTGGCGCTGGGCAGCGGGCACGCATGGTTCTGAAATGCAACAATACTAGACGGTGTGGCTGGCTGGGCAGCGGCACGCATGGGTTCTGAAATGCAACAATACTAGACGGTGTGGCTGGCTGGGCAGGGCACGCATGGGTTCTGAAATGCAACAATACTAGACGGTGTGGCTGGCTGGGCAGCGGGCACGCATGGGTTCTGAAATGCAACAATGCAAGACGGTGTGGCTGGCTGGGCAGGGCACGCAAATGAGACGGTGTGGGCTGCATGGGTTCTGAAATGCAACATAAGACGTGTGGCTGCTGGCAGCGGGCACGCAATGGGTTTCTGAATGCAACAATACTAGACGGTGTGGCTGGCTGGGAGCGGGCACGCATGGGTTCTGAAATGCAACAATGCAAGACGGTGTGGCTGGCTGGGCAGCGGGGCACGCATGGGTTTGAATGCAACAATACTAGACGGTGTGGGGCTGGGCAGCGGGCACGCATGGGTTCTGAAATGCAACAATGCAAGACGGTGTGGCTGGCTGGGCAGCGGGCACGCATGGGTTCTGAAATGCAACAATACTAGACGGTGTGGCTGGCTGGGCACACATGGGTTCTAAATGCAACAATGCAAGACGGTGTGGCTGGCTGGGCAGCGGGCACGCATGGGTTCTGAAATGCAACAATACTAGACGGTGTGGCTGGCTGGGCAGCGGGCACACATGGGTTCTGAAATGCAAACAATGCAAGACGGTGTGGCTGGCTGGGGCGGGCACGCATGGGTTCTGAAATGCAACAATACTAGACGGTGTGGCTGGCTGGGCAGCGGGCACGCATGGGTTCTGAAATGCAACAATACAAGACGGTGTGGCTGGCTGGGCAGCGGCACGCATGGGTTCTGAAATGCAATACAAGACGGTGTGGCTGGCTGGGCAGCGGGCACGCATGGTTCTGAAATGCACGCTGCACGCATGGTTCTGAAATGCAACAATACTAGACGGTGTGGCTGGCTGGGCAGCGGGCACGCATGGGTTCTGAAATGCAACAATACTAGACGGTGTGGCTGGCTGGCAGCGGCACGCATGGGTTCTGAAATGCAACAATGCAAGACGGTGTGGCTGCTGGGCAGCGGGCACGCATGGGTTCTGAATGCAACAATACTAGACGGTGTGGCTGGCTGGGCAGCGGGCACGCATGGGTTCTGAAATGCAACAATAAAGCGGCACGCATGGGTTCTGAAATGTGCAAGACGGTGTGGCTGGCTGGGCAGCGGGCACGCATGGGTTCTGAAATGCAACAATGCAAGACGGTGTGGCTGGCTGGGCAGCGGGCACGCATGGGTTCTGAAATGCAACAATACACGGTGTGGCTGGCTGGGCAGCGGGCACGCATGGGTTCTGAAATGCAACAATACTAGACGGTGTGGCTGGCTGGGCAGCGGGCACGCATGGGTTCTGAAATGCAACAATACAAGACGGTGTGGCTGGCTGGGCAGCGGGCACGCATGGGTTCTGAAATGCAACAATACTAGACGGTGTGGCTGGCTGGCAGCGGGCACGCATGGGTTCTGAAATGCAACAATGCAAGACGGTGTGGCTGGCTGGGCAGCGGCACATGGGTTCTGAAATGCAACAATGCAAGACGGTGTGGCTGGCTGGGCAGCGGGCACGCATGGTTCTGAAATGCAACAATGCAGACGGTGTGGCTGGCTGGGCAGCGGGCACGCATGGGTTCTGAAATGCAGCAATACTGTGTGGCTGGCTGGGCAGCGGGCACACATGGGTTCTGAAATGCAACAATGCAAGACGGTGTGGCTGGCTGGGCAGCGGGCACGCATGGGTTCTGAAATGCAACAATACTAGACGGTGTGGCTGGCTGGGCAGCGGGCACGCATGGGTTCTGAAATGCAACATAAACGGTGTGGCTGGTTCTGCAGCGGGCATACGTGGACTCGGAAATGCTGCAAGATGCCAATGCAACAATACTAGACGGTGTGGCTGGCTGGGCAGCGGGCACGCATGGGTTCTGAAATGCAAAATTAGACGGTGTGGCTGGCTGGGCAGCGGGCACACATGGGTTCTGAAATGCAACATAAACGGTGTGGCTGGTTCTGCAGCGGGCATACGTGGACTCGGAAATGCAACAATGCAAGACAATGTGGCTGGCTCTGAAGCGGGCACGTACGAATCGTCATTGGCATCAATGTTATTGGGCTTGTATAGCAACGAAAAGGCAACAGAATGACGATGAGAAGGACAACATACGGTACTAGGAGGACTGAAATCGTACACTAACACGCTATGCACGGCAGTCTTGTATCGAGATAATGGGCAACGAACGAAATAATGAACGAGGAGGTCTTCTTGTACGAGACATGCAGTGCCTGAGAGGGTTATTGAGGTAGCAAACGTCCTTGAAGAAGTCACTAGTGTCAGAAACTCTGGGGTCAGGGCAATGAGTGTCGGTCAAGTTGCGATGTGAGTAGGAAGAATAAAATTCCGTGTTAATGGACAATGTAACGTCATATTTCACTGTGGAGTTATAAGGGGAGAGGGAACGATGTGGAAGGGGAGGTGGGTGAGGGAAGTGTGGCGTCACTCATGAGTTCGTACGTACGTCTGTGCATGATCGTGTCCTCTAGTGTTTTATTCAAATGTGGCGTTGGTCAGACTTCGAGATCGTGGAATACAGGATAAGTTAGTCATACAGGGTTTGGGAAAGAGAGAGAAAGAAAGGAAAAAAAATCACGAAGGGCAATAACTGCGTGAAAGGAGAGGGGCGAGGAGTGAGCGGGCACGAGTGTGTGAGTGCGGAGGAAGCTCGTTTTCTGTTGAGCGGGGAGAATGAGGAAAGCGTACACGGGGAAGGAGGGAAGTGTGAGGAGGGTGAGTGGGCACGAGAGATAGGGTAATGCGCCGTTTTCTTTACGGCGGGGAGACTATGATAGGGCACGTACGGTGAAATGCACACAAATAAACTATAAAATAATCCTAATCGACCTAGATATTCTAACGGAAAAAATCGCCTTAAAACAAATCTCTGACCAACCTTGAAATCTTTGTCACTGGGGGTGGGCAGCAGGCCGGTGTGGTGTCGTCAGCAGCGTGGTCCGGGAGGGTGGGCGGTCAGCAGGTGATCCGTCAGCAGGGCAGGAGATCCTTCGGCAGTGTCACTTCACTGGAAAATGTGACGGTGTAATCAGAGTGAGACGTCACAGGCGGAAGGTGCGGACTGCCGCATTCCGGTGAGTGTTAGGCGGGAGGTACGTGTGGGTCAGTATAATTGTATAGGGTATGTGTAAGGATATATAGTATATTATGTGTACAGTAGAAGGGGAGAGAGAGTGGCACTTGAGTGTTTAGATGTATAGTTAACATGAGTATTACAGTGTGTGTGTGTGTGTGTGTGTATGTGTGTGTGTGTGTGTGTGTGTGTGTGTGTGTGTGTGTATATATGTATACATATGTATATATATATATATATATATATATATATATATATATAATATATATATATATATATAATATATGTGTGTGTGTGTGTGTGTGTGTGTGTGTGTGTTGTGTGTGTGTATGTATATATATATATATATATATATATATATATATATATATATATATAATATATTATATATATATATATACACACACACACACACACACACACACACACACACACACACACACACACACACACACACACACACACACACACACACACACACACATACAAATATATATACATATATATAATATATATATATATATATATATATATATATATATATATATATATATATATAATATATATATTATATAATATATATATATATATATATATATATAC